GATTACCCTCGAGGAAGAGGTCGGGAGACCTGGGGCCGCGGATTCGAAAAGAGCATACAGTCGACACCGATAGCAAGGAGGAGCGATTCCCCAAGGTTCTTATGCACCCTTCCCTTCAGGCCCGTCCTTGGCCACTTTCGCTGGCCGCGCCCCCCTCGAAGAACGTCGGCATGACCTTCTGAGGCCCTTGCATCCTCATCGCGGACCCTCGGTGGACGCGTCCATTGCAGCGGAGCATGCCATGGGCTCGCCCATCGGCGGCGGCTGGCGGATGCAGAAGGTGGCGACGGGGCCGCGGGGAGCCCGGGCCGGCGGAGGGCCGGCGGAAGTAGAAATCGGGGGCGGGAAAGAGGGGGGTGATGACTAGGGTCGGAGGTGGATAGACCTCCTACCCTGACACGTCGATTAAGGAATTGTCCGTTTTCGGTTCGCGAGAGGGCGTCGCGGCCGTCATTTTTGCGGGTCCAGGTGCGTCGGTTTCGGTCCCAGGCCGTTTTCACTAAGGGGAGGTTTACTAAAGGGAGGTTTGTCCACCGCCGACAGGGGGGGGATATCATGGCGTGGGCCATGATGTTTCCGCAGATTTCATGGCGCCTCTTCTTATCTTACCACGTCCCTCTGCCCCTCCCCCCCCCTGGGCCGCGCACATGCCGCCGGCCATGATTTGCACCCCCCTCCTCTGGGACGCCCCCCTCTTGGCCGCTCCCGAGAAGAAGCCAGGCGCCAGCAGATTTTGGACTCAGAGCTTCCGGAGCCACGATGCATGTCTGAAGCTTCCAAGAGGCCATCACCGCCCCCGCCTGCTCTCAGCGAGGCCGGGGCGGCCATCCGCAGGGGCGGTTCGTTCGTGCGCTCGTTCGGAAGAGGCCCTTGGGACCAGGAATTCTGCACGTTGTGCGCCTCACTGTCTGTTCCCCTGTGTGTTTTTTTTTTTGTAAAAAAAAGCCCAGGAGTTGCCTCCCAAAGGTTCCCCTGGAGCGGGCGCGCGCGAGGTGGCGGAGGTGATCGGAGGCTGCTCCCGAGCGGGAGGGTGCATCCTCGATCCTTACCTGCGCCTCGGCATCGCTGGCCTTGCCGTGAGGCCTCTCGTTCTATCCCCCCCTCTTGGTTAATTCAAGCTTCGCGCGGCCCGCTTAGGTTCGACCGGAAGAGGTGCGCTCTCGACCCGCAGATCAAAAAAGTGCCTCGGCATCGCTTGGACGGAGTGCATCTGTTCTCGGCGAGGGCCGTGGAGTTCGGCAGCAACTCGTGGGGGCCTCGTGTGCCCTCGCAGTGCTGGCTTCGGAGCGCGCTGGCGTCAATGAGCGTCTGGCCGTGGACGGAATTTGGCGCCGATTTGGCGTCGATTTGGCGCCGATGGGAGGGGTGGGGCCCTCGTTCTGGACGCCCGAAATGGGAACGGAAAGAATGGGCACAATGCCCAACAGCAGTTCTTGTTCATTTGAACAGGACTCGCTGTCCACGCCGCCGCGGCCTGTATCCATTCGAGACAGAAGGCCGCCTGCCCAACAGCGGCCGTTGTTGGTTTGGGACAACATTTGTTGTTGGGCATTGTACCCATTCTTTCGGTACCCATTTCGGGTGTCCAAACTCGTGCGTGCACTGCAGCGCGGCGTGCTGACCGTGGACAGCTTGGCGGGCCCGCCGTCGATCCTGCCAGGCTCGATTCGCAGCACCGGGCAAGGCCGCGGCCAGCGCGAGCTTGACGCCCCCCCCCTGAGAGGGGGCGACTGCCCTCTCTGAGCTTCTTAGCGCAGCTCAGCTTCGAGGAGCGTCGACAAGCGTCGATGCGCGTCCACTCGCAAGAGCCAACTGGCTGGTGTGGGAGGCTTCCATGAGATGCCGCAGAGCCATCGGGGAGCATCCTCGATCCTCTCGCGAAGCAGAAAAGACGCACGGCGAATGATGCCCAGGGAATGGGTGTCCGAGCGATGGCAAGGATGCAGGGAATGGGGGGCGATCAGACAGAGTCGACGGAAGGCGTGCGACCGGAGGGGGCGGGTGTGCCAGCGGCGGGCGCGGGGAGAGGCCACGCACGCGCGGAACGACACGCACAACCACACGTCAACAGCAAGAATGCAGTAAGAAGTACTGCCCCTGAGATCTCAGCGTCGCAAATGCTTGTCAGAACGGGCGGTCTTGCCCTGCTTCGGGCCCAGGGGCCCTCATCGATCGATCGGGCTCGAACTATGCCTCCGAAAGATGGCGTCCAGAGCTCCGGTTGATTTATTTGACGTTGGATCTTGGGTGCAGCCACGCACACACGCACACAGCAAAACCAACAGGTCAACAAGTTGATAGTACGGTCGGGAACATTTGCTTGGCGTGTCGCGCCGCTGGTTCTGGCCCACCACGCTTCGGCGCGACGCGCGCACCGCGTCGCAGTCCCCAAGCATCAGTGTCCCGAGCCCTTCCCAGCCTCCCGCCCCGCGGATCGGAGTGAGATGCGATCCGCTCGCAGGGCGCAGCGTGTTGCTGGGGCCACCGCCGCCGCGACACG